AGAATATTCAAATTGCAGTTTAGTAAAGCATGCTTTGATGTAATGATGCTTATAGTGAATGCTTGACGAACCTAAATTGGATAAATAGAGGGAGAGTGATTTTTTTTTTAATTGTATAGCATGATTTTGTTTAATGATTCAATGCACTCAATAAATTATATTGACTTTTATTGAGGCTTTATCCGTTTTAATAATCAAATAGGGATATGCACCGTATGCTATGTGATGTACTTGGGAATATAAGGACTTAACAAATATGCTATGAAGATTGGCTGTCAAACTGTGTAAATCACATCAGTTGCTTTTGAATTTTGTAAGAATTTTCATTGTATCTACTCCTAGTAAAGATGAAAATTTACACAATATTACTTGATGACATATGACCTGAATTCGAATCTTTTGCTGCTATAAAGTGATCATTGTTGCTAATATTGCTTAGTATTCAGAGAAGTTTGTAGTTGAATGGAAGTTTCACTTATTTAATACTCCTTAAATATGTTTGTAGCTTGATCATTTTCGGAAGTTATATGTTAGACTTTTCATTGTTCAAAGCTTAAACTTTATCTTGTTCTCATACAAGACAGACATTGCAATCACGTCCAATAGCATGTTCAAACTGTATGACTAGTTAATGAGTGATAAGGTAAAAGGTTAAATTGAAACTGAATCACTAGTGGAGCATTTAGAGGGGATTAAATCTAACATTTGGTGTAGTCTCTTTTCTTTTACTGCATCTTGTTTGGCCTCGGATTGCTTCATGTAGTTTCATCTTTGTACTTATCTTTCAAATTAGCTTTGACAATAGATATGGTGTTCAACGTGTTCCAAACAAAGGGTTTCATGAAATATTAGAAAGAAAATAATAATTATTTTTCACATTTAAAATTTTTGATTTCATGATTGTGAGTTGTGACGATGGAATTCTCAAAGTGTTGAATTGTGTCATTTCAAAATTTTTGTTGAAGTCCTACTTGTTAGGTAAGCAAGGACTTGTGCTTGCTTATTTATTAACATATAGGAAATGTTTGAAATACTGTCGGCTTATATGATTGCATTGTAAGAATGTACGTTTGTGGGGTTATATTGACTTTTGCTAGCATTTAATCATATAATCAATTGCAGAGGCGCACATACTGATTATGTTGAAAATTTTCATTGTGAGATGATTGAAATGTTTTCTTATTATCAATTTTACTGTTATGTTTTAAGTTAACAAGTTGACAATTGATTTTGTAATACTGTTATAAATTTTGCATGTATGATACAAATTTTTTGGAGAGGGTCTAATTTGTGGAGTTCGCCTTATGCCCCTAAAATCACAGGACCTACACTGCTCTCTCTCACTACATTGACCGCCGACTAAATCCTCTCCATGACGGAAATATCTCCTACTTCCAGCCAGCGATGATATTGGAAGCGTTGGAGGAATCGACCACTGCCTTTTGGATCTCATCTTCTGTGCAATTGCAAAACACTGTACAAAAGGTATTCCATTTTTTGAATTTATCTTTGGTATTAATTTTGCAAGGAATGCAGCGCTTATTTAGCCCCTGTTTGAGCCCCATTTTTACCTCATTAAAATGAAAAATATGACCGTTATCCATCACATCAAGCCACCATTTTTGAATTTCTATCTCTGGTGTGGGGTCCATAACGGCTCTATTTCTCATTCTCATTATAATGTGGCTCAAACGAGCTCTTATTCTTGTTGAATCATTGGGTTTATTTATTTAAATTTTTGAAGGTGTTATATTAATGTAAACGTCAAATTTTACTATTTGTTAACATGAATTAGGTTTTTTATTTAATTTTCTTCAATCTCAGATTCCAGTTTTGAGTCGTGTGTGTTGGTTGTTTAGTAGTAGCATTTGATATTCGTTTTGCATGAAGGAGAAATATTTTTCGTGGAAATTATTTACATGATATACGGTATCTCGCATTGGGTTGTTGGTTGATGTAATGAAAATATTTTGTTGTGGACAGTGGGTGGTTGGCAATGGCAGTAGGTGAGAAATGTGGAAATTGAGACCGTGCGAGTAATTTTGGGTTTGATACAAAGTATTTTCGGTTGAAAATGTTGTTAGTTAGGACAATGTTTGTGGACATGGACAGGCAGACATATGTTTTTTCAAATTGTTTAAATTTATAGAGTACATGTTTAGTTTCCTAATTTTATTTCGAACCCATCATTTTGTGCTTAGGTTGTTAATACTCTTCAACGGTGTTCACATATTAGTTTTTTTTAGAAGTTTGTAATTGATTATTAGATGAATTATGCTTATGATGTGAACCCGTTTGCAATATGTACTTTAGAACCCATATGCTACATTTGCAACACGACAGTATAATGAGACATCCTATAGAAAGGGACTTAGAGGATGTTTGTTTTCACTTGTAATTGTTTTTCGACTGTGATGACTAGATTTTCGTTGTTACGTACCAAGTTTGCGTGTTGGGACACCATGCATACGTATCACATGTGTCTATTGAAAATTGTCGTTCCTGACATTTGGCTGCTGTAATTCTCAACAGTTGGGTGAATTTCAACAAATGAATCGTCGTTCCCAATAGTTAGCTGCAGGCATTCTCGACAGATGACAGATAGCACTGTCCTGCCAGACGAGTGCAGTCATCTGTCGACACAGGTTTCGATGACAGTGTCTCGACACATAACTGTGGTCACTAACGACATTGCACGTGCGTTTCAAAATAACATGTATGTCGAACATTCATATCTCATTGCCGTACGTATTTTCGCACATTCAAAATATCTTTAGTAACTTTTTTTTGAGTTCAACATTGCATGCACAATTCGACATAACATGTGTGACACCGTTTGGGTAGATGATCTGTTCTTATACGTTTCTCGTATTACTTGTTCCGATTGATGTGGTTGTATGCTCTTCCAAAGTACGCATGCTCTTTGAAATATTCATTTGGTGTTGATTTATGGTCTGACCATTATCGTTTCATCTGCGGAACAGATGGAATTTCAATTTTGGGTGCCGAAAAATGTATGGCTGCCCGTGCGCATCTCGCAATGGAGCAACCTGGAGTACATTAAAATGGTGATGGATCACTTGGATGACTGACTACGAGCTGACTTTCGCAACTCCTGCCTTGGGTTTCTTGCTGACGTTCTAGAGTTCCAATTTTTCGCTCAACTAATCCAGGCACTTGTGTGCAGAGGGATCCATTGCGATAAGTCCCACGAGTTGTGGTTCAACGTGCAGGGCCACCTTACCCAGTTTGGACTGCAGGAGTATGCTATCATCACTGGACTACATGCTGGCTCGTTTCTGGAGGGCGATCAGTACAAAAAAGCATTGGAGAAGAGGAGACTCAAGGAAAAGTATTTCAAATCGCTGGAGAAGATTTCATGTGCCCAATTGGAGAAGATCTTTGTTCGCGTGTCGACACCCCGGGCAGATAGATACAAGCTCGAGCTTGCTCTGATTGTGGAAGGAGTTATCACTGCTCCGGACAATAATGTTGGCATTGATGAGGATACGCTTTCTCTTGTCGACAATTTGGAGCTTTTTTCCTACCCCTGGGCCAAAGTGGGGTACAGCCGTTTGTTGAAGGGACTCCGTGGTACCTGGGCACGTAAAATGAGTGATGCAAAGATGAAGAATGAGAACGACGTCTGCTATACAATTCACGAATTTCCGATCACCATGTAGGTAAGAACAACATTAAGTTTATGTTTTTTGTTTGTAAGTATTTCAACAGTTATCTACATTCTTTGGATGGCTACTTATGCGACAATTTTTTTTTCGTCCGGACAGATTTGGATATATGAGGCCGTGCCCGAACTGGACGAACGCTTCGGTCAGCAGGTGGGTGAACAATCGCCTCGGCTTCTGTGCTGGACCTCTACCAAACAACCGCAGCAGCGTATGTACGATGCGTTCTTCAGGGACGTACAGGTCATGGATATTTTTCATTTGCCTTTCAATTATTTTATTTTTTAGGGAATAGTATGCAATATATTTTAACTACCCGTTCTTCCCTGTTTCTACAGCTGCACATGCACGCCACACTACGTCCCACGGAGGCCGAGCGTGATCTCCCATGCATCGCTAGTTTGGTGCCGTTCCCCGACCGTCCGATGCAATTTTTGGACGACCTCGCTAGGAGTGTTGTCGAGCCACAGTTCCATGAGGCTGCACCGGCCAGTGGGGGACATGACAGTAGCGCTGCGGGTGACGGTCATGACGACGAGTTCGATGTAGGGGCCGAGGACGATGAGATATCCTCGAGTGATGATCGTCAGACACGGGAGGGCAACGGCGACGATGGGTCTAAGGTTAACGATAGCGAAGACAGCAGTCGCGACACCTCCAACGAGACCGGTGCTGGTGACACTGAGGACGACGAGGATGCCTTGGGACGGTAGTCAGGTGTATTACCCACTCCAATGGTTACCCGTCCACATCTGGGCTGCAGGGTACGCGTGGTGGACCGACTGTGACATGAGGACGTGGAGGGCATGTTGTTGGACCAGCACATCCTCATCTAGATGAGGTTGCGGACCGTGAAGCTTGAAATCATTCAGCACATGAACGAGGAGTTTGCCAGACTGAGGGACTTCATATCTACCTTGGTGCCCCCGTTCGATGGCACCTCCACTTCCGCTATAGCTCCTGTCGTGAATGAGTCAAACATTTGGGATGACTCCCACGAAGGTATGAGTTTATGTTACTGCAACTTTCACTTACAACATGTCTGCAGAGATGTGTAATTTTTCCCATGCGTTCGTTTACAAATGTATTTTTTTAATTGCCAAATTACTTAGATGTTGATGGAGGAGACATGGACCTGTGCCCAGATGACGGTGGTCATCCTTCGCCTACCGAGAACTTGAAGATGAATGGTATGTCGGTTAGTTATGTGTAACACATATTTGTATTTGATGTCATCTCATCTAATGATATGCAACTGTATTCAATTTTACTCATTCAGTAATTTTTTTTGTTTTCCAACTAGATGGAGAAGGCAGCGACGAACGGAGCCCACATGACAACGACCATGCAGAGGAGGCTGAAATGCAGGAGGTGAACGGTACGTGCATAATTTTTGTATTTTATGTCATCTCATCTCATGATATGCAAATGTATTCATTTTCACTCCTTGAATAATTTTTTCTTTGTTTCCAAGTAGCCGAGAAAGGCAGCGACAAACGGAGTCCACACGACGACAACCATGCAGACGAGGGTGAAATGCAGGAGGTAAACGGTATGTGCGTAATTTTTTTCAACTTCTGTCATCTCATCTCGTGATATGCATATGTATTCAATTTCACTCATTCATCAATTTTTTTTGTCTTCCAACTAGATGGGGAAGGCGGAGACAAACGGAGCCCACAGGACGACGACCGTGCAGAAGAGGGTGAAATGCAGGAGGTGAACGGTACATGCGTAATTTTTTTCAACTTCTGTGATTTGGGTTCTATTACCAATCACCTCCCCCATTATGCAAATTATAATCCATATCTTGTGTTTGTCCATTTCACCAAATTTGCTTTCAACTAGACCCAAGAGAGACCGTCCCCACGCTCCCCAGCGACGACAACGAGGAAGGCCCATCGGCCCATGACATCACGGAGGTGAACGGTACGTGCCTATTTTAAACGGGTCCATCTTATTCCACGACTATGTGGCCTCCTTCACATATAACTGTTTCACTAAAATTTTGAAATTTTTTATATAGGCGCTGCCACAGAGTTTTCGACACAGGTGACCGTACCAGAAAGGAAGGCAATGTAGGCAGCACAAACAGGCAACGATTGACTCATGTTCGACGTCCTGCACCACCTACCCGGACTCCATACACAAGGGGAAGGGCAAAGAGAGTAAAGAAATAAGTGAGTTCAAGTAGTCCGATAAGGTGTGTTGTAGTAGTAGATACGTTGTTCGTAACAAGGACATGCTTTTAATTTGGTTAGTTTTATGGACGGATACGTTTGCTCAGCCATATGCTACACATTAAACTATTTTATATAGAGTACATATCGTTTTGCGATAATAAATATTTAATGCAAGCATGGGATGGTATTGCCAGTCAATTTTGTGTGTATACGTTGACAAAATAATGCATGTATTGTTGATGAAATGTAAAAGGGTAGATCAACATCAAAACTAAAATGAATATATCATCATTCTTATACATCCAGTCATATGATTTTTCAAGACGAACTGACGGGTTTTCCTGTCAGAGTCTTTACAAAAATCTGCATGCCTCCCCTCAACCTCAGTACCAAGTGCAGAGTTGACTCCTTCTGAATATTATAGTCTGCCAATGTTCAGCAGTCCTCAAGCTGTTTGCCAGCGAAGATTAGCCTCTCCTGGTCTAGTGGGATTCTCTCCATGTCCTGAATTGTGGCTTTAACATTATCAATGGTGTCGGAGTTGTCACCTTCACGGGTTATTGTCTTCCCAGTAGGGGTTTTGACAAAAAATTGCCTACCACCACGAAGCCTCAAGTGGAGTGTGGACTCCTTCTGAATGTTATAGTCGGCCAAATTACGGCCATCCTCGAGCTGTTTACCAGCGAAAATGAGCCTTTGTTGGTCTGGTAGGATGTCTTCCTTGTCTTGTATCTTGACTTGAACATTATATTTATGGCATGTATTGTTTATGATATGTGAAAGGGTTGTTCATTTTTTGGGATTACATAGCATGCCCGTTTCCTATTCCATGAGTGAGTAAATTTTTTGGTTTGTGCGTTAGTTGGATAGATAGTTACGGACATTCTGTGCTGTGTCATTGTACTTTAGCACACACGTGATGCAGGTAGGCAGCAGGTTCATTCGGAGGGTTGCTTTTTGAGTTGATCATGTGCGTTGATCGAGGTGTGATGAGGAATTTTTGCAGAATGATAAAGAGTACAGACAAAATGAAGGCTGAGGCTAAATTAAGAGGTGTAGTGATTTTCACCAAAAATCAGCCTAATGGACCCACACTTGGGTTCATGCCTGAAGGTGCAACTGTGGAGACTATTACTCCTATCCCATATGATGTGGTTAATTATGTCAAGGGGGTTATTAGATTACTTTAATTCCATATTGAGATATGGTTAAGTGGAACGGACATTGAGACTAGACATTTCTTTGTACTGTAATTAAATTGATGTTCATGCTACTTGGTGAAGTAGTAGTATATTGTACTTTAATTTCGTTGGAGCTGAAGCTGTTATAGCTGTACAAATGATTCATGATATCTAATGATTTTGTGTGTAATGGAGCGTGTATTTTAAAATTTTCATTACCGTAGTATGAATAATTCGTTGTTATCTTTGCTACGTTGGCCCCAACATTACAACCGGTGTATGTTTATTTCAACATGCATTTTAGTATAAATTAGCTTGTTCGTACAAATTATAATTTATTTGAACAATGACTTTTTGTGTCACCCAATGTTCATCTTCATTGGCAGGGACATTAATTTTATCAAATTTGAATGCAATTCATATGATTTAGAATTTAAAAATTGTATTCAATTATGACTAAGGACTACAAAAATTTAGTAAAGTAATTTAACTTCCAGATTGATTGCCAATCCAGCTGCAGGAGTGTTCTCATTGTAGGTCTTGCACATGGGTACAATTTACTCATAATTCTCCCCATTTATGGAGAGAGCCTAGGGGCGAATGTACACTTATACCCTAAACCATCACACCAATGGTCAATCAAGTGTTAAGTAGAAATGAAATGGTGGTTGGTTGCTAAATTTCTTTAAATGTCCTCAAATATCTCCAGTATATAGCATGGCTTATACTTTCGAAGTGGGATACATGAGATTTTTTGTGAGGCATCTTGTAGCAGGAATGTATCACAATATTTCAAGCATGTTTCTTCATATCAAAACAATGGCATCGTCCACGGGAAGCAATTCACCACTGCCAGTTGAAGAGCCTTTGCCAACACCCGGTTCAACCCCGCTATGTTCCATCGTAATTTCTTCGGACGATTAGGAAGTGAGTTCGAATGGTGATAGGAGAGCCATCACTATCGTTCCCTTTCTGAACCTGGACGAAGTTGTAAGTGATGTAGGTAAGTCTCCAAGAAATGTACTTGAATGGGTCGTCCCATTTATAGATGTAGACGAAGTTGAAAGTCACGAGGATGAAGGGTAGGGTTGCGTTCCATCGTCTGAGGTAATTGTCATCAGCTAGGATGATTCGGATGATGACGGTGGGGAAGAAGGTTCAAGTGTTAGCTCCGAGTGAAGAGTCCGACTTTGTTGCGTGTGTGGGTTTCTACGTATGTATGTATAGTATTTTTTTGTAAGGGATGGATTTTGTTACGTATGTACCAATTCTGTAGCATGTAGGAAACTCCCGTTGGCATGTTATATGTATTTTGTATTTTGTTAAGCGGATCGTCGGACAACTATCGAGAATGGCAGACACCATCTGTCGGGAATAACAGATGAACTATCGGGGTTTACTGGTAAATTTTCTGTGTCTGTAGTATGCATATGAATTATAATATGTATTTTGGGTGAACGAACACAGCCTCATGTGTACAGCCAACGTACTTTGTAAACAATACGGACAGTGTTATACGCTAAAAATGATGTGTTCGTAATATGCATATGAAAGGAAACATGTATTTTGGTTGAACGTTTTCTATTCCATACATTCAATTTACATATGTCAACAATGGCAACAATGTTATGCACAACAAAATTGTATTTTTGGTTCGAGGGTGTTATACAGTACGTTGTGCCTATTTGCGTACTGTAATTGTGAACATAAGAAAGAATATTGTTTATGCGTAAGAGAATGAAAACAGTAATGCAATATTTACATTGTCATATACAAACGACATCGAGGGAATACTTAACTTACAATTTCAACCGCTCACGTATAAATTGCTGCTTACATCGGACATGGTACAGTGTGGTTCGAACATGTGGTCCAGTTATAACTAAATCCACCGCAGCGAGTGCATTTCCTGAGCCGTGTGCTACACTCGAATTGCAGATGTTGGCTCTGTAATGAATCTAGACATTATGCAAACGAATGTACCTGCATAAAAAAAAAAAAAAATCTCCAAAAAAAAAGTGGGCCCTTCCCTTATTGTGAGGGTCGGTCAAGGTGTTAGTCACCCATTCTTTTGGCACTGCAGCATTTTTGTTATTATATTCATTGAGAACAAAGTTGCTTTAAAGCCGGAAATCAATAGTTATGTGGCAAAATCCATGTGGCAACAAACAGACCACCAGCAGATTTCCCTGGGTCCCAATTCAGATTTTCAATCTACAAAAACAAATCACCAATCCCACTCCATTACACATCATTATGCAGACTATCCATCGCGATTGCAGCCTGTGCTTCGACAGCTCTAGTTATACTTCCCCAGCTTTTCACCTCCACCTCTAATTGCCCAACTTTTCCACTTCATCGCCGGCGGTCTATCAAGACTGACGGTGGTAGAATTTATGCTTCAGTATCAGTTGAAACCTCTTTGCCTACTAGGCCGGATGATCTCGTCGCATCCATCATTTCCAAGGTACCATTTTTACTTAAGATTTCAATTGTTAGGACAATTCCGTTGTAAATTCTATTCGCGGACCCAATGAATTATATTCTTCACGAGAAACGTGAGTTCCATGAGTGATGTTTAGGTCTTCCAAGGCATGCCTACTTTTGTATTGCGGTTACAAGAACTTTCCACTACTCACCTTTAAATAGTTATAGTTGATCTTTCTTAATTGGTACGGTGGACTTCTGGTTCTCTATAGGTCAGGACGAAATATATACCAACAATGGCAAAAAAATAATAATAAATAAATAAAAGAGAGAGAGAGAGAGAGAGAGAACCAAGAATACAAGAGGAGAAAAGGATACTGCTGAGCCATTAGCCCATAAAAAGCTAGTGAAAAGTAGTGGAATGGACCCGTTAGTAAGCACAGCCATGAGGACAGGCAAATCCGTTAATGTGTCCTGCATAGACAATGATGACACTCAAGAATACCAAAGAACCATATTTGTGAGAACGTTCAAGACATGGTCTCAAGAATGAGAACAATCTCCTTCAACTACGAAGTTGACTAAACTAAACTGATTTGTGTTGACATTTTATTTAAAATGATTTCTGTTGCCAGGTAATTTAAGTAATGAAACCCATGATGGTTGACTAATTACTTATCTACAGTGAATTCAAAAAAAGAAAAAGAAAATCACATAAACACTGATGTTTTTCTTCTTTGAGTTAGTATATAAAAATTACAAGACTTGCATTTGCTATCTCATGCTAATAAGATCGAATGATATTTTCATTACCATAGTGCTCTAATTTGATAAGGCATTATGACAGTTTTAAGGTATCTGAACCTTCATGTACTACATAGTTTAGTACTTATGTTAAATTTCATATGTATTGTTTGCAAATTGCAATATGTGCTTTAGATCTCAAAGTTTCTACCTTTACGACATTTGTTATGTACTGATCGTTCTTTATTTACCAGTTTGTGTTTACAAGTCATTTTCTGCATTGTAGACATGATAATTCATCCTTTCAACTGCATTGTTTCTGTCATTTCCATCTAGTAAAGTTTATATTGTTTTTATCTTTGTGAGTGATGCTTTCTTAGAATTTCAAATGTAAAGAAGACTGAGATTGATCACTTAATTAGGTCATGCAAACAGATCGAGGAGTTCTGCTGACGAGAGATGAGCACCAAAAGGTAGCTGCAGTGGCTACTGAATTGCAAAAGTTTTGTGTTGATGAGCTTGTAAAATACCTACTTATATTTGGAGGTAAAAAAATCCCATTCTCAGTAATTATAATCAGTTATTGATTTTGAATCCTGCTTCCAATTCGAAATTATCGAATAATACAGACTTGGGGTAACATTTGAAAAGTTGAAAGTTATTCACAGAAGAGAAGTTGACAATTGCCCATTCAATTTGTTTGCTGTCATAAACTGAATTCTTATAATTGATTTTTCTGCAAAACATTTTATTCACATAATGACTTGTACTATGCGATCTTCTTAGAGAGAGAAACTTCTTTGGTTTGAATGGCATTGATGCATATAATATGGCTGTTGGTTGGGTTGCTGCAGACTAGATTGTGCAATAATTAAGAGTTGCTCGAGTTTCAGGTTAAGCTATTACTCAGTTGTCTCAATAAAAACCAATCATTCTCTTTCTGATATCTGATCGGTTATTTTATTTAACTTTCCACAAATAAGATAAGGTGGCTGCACTGACCACTTTGAAGTTTCATACATGAGGAAATTGTAGAGACATTGAATATAAATATACGTTAGCTTTTGGCTATGTGATTTTGAACATGGATTTACTGCAACTTCACCGAAATTCTATAGACACTGAATTGCTTCTAAAACTTTGTGTAGTCAATGACAAATGCCTGTTTCAATGATGAATGAGAAAATCATCCTAATAATTTTTTTAAATTATTCCACAACAAAAGAGAACTTTAGTTTCGGAAATGAAGTGCTCGCTGACGTCGAATGTTTGTCGTCTCTGCAGAGTGGGATGTGCTATATTGTTCGAACCCTACATCACTTGGTGGTGGCTATCGGAGTTCAATCGGACGCCAATTTCTCAAAACCAATGATATGATTCAGGTTGTTGAAGCCCCTGATACAGTGAGAAACAGAGTATCTTTCTCAGTCCTAGGGCTCCTAGAAGGAGAAGTTTCATTGAAGGGTAAATCCGAACGACGAATTTTTTCTTTGATTTTCCTTTTTATTTATAATCCAAGTATTGAGGGAATTCTTTCTTTCTATGGATACCTATCGACCAATACATCAAGATTCTATATAGCTACTTTTGCTAAAACTCATATAGCCCTTGTTTGGGCTTCATTTTCCCAAAATATATTTTTTTTTCTTTCTTATTCTTTCTTATTTTCAACTACAGACTCTTCAATAAAATAATATTACACGTAAATTCAAAAAAATTTATTATTTTTGAGCCTCACATTCTCCAAAATATTTCTATTCAAAATGCATTTTGGATATAGCATCTTGAAAACTTACTCCATGCGTGAAGCATCAAGTAAGGAGAGATGGAAATTTAGACTAACCTAGTTCAGCTGCAAGATTTATCTATCTCAGGGCAATTACCATATTATAACCATAAGTTTCAATGGCCTCATAGCTATGTTGCCCAAGAATCTAGTGTGCACTCAAGCCTCAATTGTATATTAAGTTCACACAATGGCATTCCTATGTCCATCAGCCTGATGGTAAAGTAAACACTACTTGCATTAATTAGCACGTAGTTGAAGCCGTAAATTGAAGTTGGCCTTGTTGGATATTGGTTAAATAAATTGAGAATTGAAAATCGATTAAAGTTCGTATCGAATTCGGCCAAATACTCAAAAGCTCGACTCAATCCGTTTAGGCAAAATTGTTTGCCACTTCGCCGCTTCGGGGCGCACAAACGGGGATCGACCTGCCCGGTCAGGTCGCGAGGGTTTGCTAAAACTCATATAGCCCATGTTTGGGCTTCATTTTCCCAAAATATATATTTTTTTTCTTTCTTATTCTTTCTTATTTTCAACTACAGACTCTTCAATAAAATAATATTATACGTAAATTCAAAAAAATTTATTATTTTTGAGCCTCACATTCTCCAAAATATTACTATTCAGAATGCATTTTGGATATAGCATCTTGAAAACTTACTCCATGCGTGAAGCATCAAGTAAGGAGAGATGGAAATTTAGACTAACCTAGTTCAGCTGCAAGATTTATCTATCTCAGGGCAATTACCATATTATAACCATAAGTTTCAATGGCCTCATAACTATGTTGCCCAAGAATCTAGTGTGCACTCAAGCCTCAATTGTATATTAAGTTCACACAATGGCATTCCTATGTCCATCAGCCTGATGGTATGGTAAACACTGCCTGATGGTAAACACTGCCTGCATTAACTAGTACGTAGTTGAGGCCGTAAATTGACGCTGGCCTTCCATGGATAAGCTTAGGCCACTGATTAAGTGTGGCTATTTGTTTTCTCTGGTACAAAGTTATTGTCTATTCCTCCATTCCTTGGTCTTGCTTCTGGTATCGTTCAATTAATTTACATTCTATTAGCAACCCACATGAAGAAATTTCGTTTCCTGGGGCACTTGGTTTGTGGCATATATATCTAGACTGCCGTTGGTGGAACACTGAATTTTGTATTGCCACTATATATCATTTGTTAATTGAGCTCCCCTTGCAATAATAATTTTTAGTTATTCTATTATTGGTCAAGTTTAATCAAATTTTCATATGAAAACATTTATCATAAAGAAAAATTCCCATCATCGGAGAAAAATTCCTAAAGAATTACGTATCAATTGAAAGATCATAACCTACTTAAGTAATCACATCTATGGATCAAGGTATACTTCCGTTTCTAATCTTCTCTTTGATTCCAACATGGAGGATTTATGTACATTTGTGGAAGGGTTTGATAAAAGTTTTAGTAGAAAACTTAATCCTTTTCAACTCCTACATCAATCACGTTCACAGAATGCTTCTTTTTGCTTTTCATCGAGAACTTTGCTGCAGACACACTCAGTAGCTTGTTATGGACATTCCTTCACCTAAAATATTTTCTTTGCTTTATACCTATGTTTACCAAGAAATGCAGGAAAAGACAACAGCTTTCTGACTTCACCACCCATTTCCTCAATCAAGTAATCCATCTTTTCCTCCAAAGAATCATGGTTGTACTGTAGAACTTGAGGGTACTTCTTGCTCACCTCTAAGATATCCTCACAAGTCAAGCCATAGTTCAAGAATACCCCAATATTCCAATGCAAGTTTTTGCAGCTGGTACGAGTAACAACTCCCATTGCCATAGCCAGTTCCCTTGTCCTATTTTCATAACCAAATCTTCACTAAGAAAACCAGCTTGCGTGCTAGATTCTCCTCAAATGAAAGACCTAAGATAAAGGGTGCCTTGATCAGGAATGTAAATACGTCCTGCGAATTCAACCCAGACTGCATAAGAAAATCGATTCTGGGATGCAATTTGCTCTTCTTGCTCACACTAAACAAGTTTGGGTAAACAAGAATTATTCTAAAGATCTCTTGATAAACTTAAATCAGCATAAGAATTCAAGAACTCGACATGGTCTTTTAAGTGGTCAACACGGCTAATACGGTTGCAGTGGCTTTCTCATCTCTCCCACTAACTCCAAGAGAAGCTCGATTATTGGAGCCAATTATGCATCCATATCATAATGCAAATTTGCAGGCAGGCGAAGAATCAAACTAACACCACTAAAACGGTTCAAGAAATGAAGCATTCTTTCCATTTCTTCAGATGACTCAAAGCACAAGGCCTTAGTCAAATTAACAATTTTAAGGACATGAACAAGCTTTTCTTGGGGAATCCCGTATTGAAATAGCAACTTCACTTTTCTCTGAAGTCCTACGAGAAATCTAGGGTCAAATACATTAAAAAGTCACCCGAGCTACACGGGCTCAAATCTCCCATTTAATCCTAAATCATCATCATTAACCAAAAAATACAACAATGCCTTGATTTCTTGAGATGTTAATACATCAGGGCACTTTACAGTCAATCGAGAAAGACCACCGACTCCAACAGATTGTAAGGAATGAATTCTCTTACGAATGGATTCAATAGGCATGAACTTGAAAGTAGCATGGGTATCCAATAATGCTTCAGTGTCTTTCTCATTGAACCCAATTTCTTGAAATAGTGAAAACAGCATCGCACCTTAAGAAAACAAAACTTGAGAAATAAATTAGATCAAACAGATTTGTTAATGGTATAATCCAACATTTCTTAATCGAGAAGAAAATGGTGTGGGCTTAGTGGGCTAACAAGTTTGACCTTTTAAAAAGAACCAAGTTGAAATTCAAGATCAATAAAATTTCATATCGAAATTAAAAATCAATGTGGCTTGGAACAATTATGGTAATTCCAACACTCAATACATTAGCCTCTAACTGTTTGAAAATTTGACAGTAAGAGAAAGTGAGGAAAGAAAAAAAAAACTAAGAAACTTGTACTTACTCGAGTGAGTGAAAATGGTGGGTTGGTTGTCATTGATAGTAGCAGAGCTGCAGTGGCATTAGGTATAAACGCAGAGAGTTATTAGGCTTCTTTGATTGTTTGTTGGAGTGGCGAATTTACGGTGGAAAGCGAAACCAGTGAGAGAGAAAGGGGCAAAATAGCTCGCTAGAAAATTGATCGGCAAATTCAGAAATTGTCGACGATAGTTAGCAGGCTTGCATTCATTGTAAGGAGGTTAGCCTTTACAGTGGTCGTTCTTGGATTGGATATGCTCAATGTGATGGGAAGTTTTACGGCAATTCTTTTTATTTTTATTTACCCGCAAGATCTTTTGTTGTTCAGAATAATATTAGCAAATAAAAAATAAAGAATATAACGCACAAATTAAACGAATCGTCAACTATATGAAAAATTGTGACAATCATATAAAATTTCACTCACCAACTGAATTCTCAAGTATTACAAAGAAACAAATAAATTCGATTTTACAACACCTACTTTTCTACCCAATGTAAGAAAAGTTTTAAAATACTAGGCTCACAATATTTTTCTCTCAAATCAACTCTCTGACCACATCTAAAATAAAATACATTCACTATTTATAGGATCAATAATCTCTAGAAGAGTTTAATTTAAATTCAAACAAAATTCCTTTAATTAAATAAGGATTCTTTCATGTACCAGACTCCAAAATTGGTTGTAAATTGGAGACCAAATTTTGTAAGGATTATGCTCTCTACTTTAATTAGAAGTCTCTATAAAATAACTACCTTTATTATTTGCAATAAAAGTCCTCCAGTTTTTGACTTTTGAGACAATTACCCAACACAACGCATTGAATCACACCGTGCGAGTTATATACAGTGATTTCGTGTATTTAGGAAAAAGTTGTTTTAAATTTATTTTCTTTAATTTGCAATGCAGGTCTTTTTTGTTGAAAATAAGTTCTATGATAGTAGATTTTTAAGAATGTGTGATTAAAAAATACATACAAGAGTGTAAGGTCGTTTGTAAACGGTTATGTACACGTAGCATTGTCCACCAAAAATAGAGCAATCGTTCATTCCAAGTAGGCTTTACATATTATAGAACCTCTCCAGACAAAAGACACAACAGGGAGTGAATTTTTATTTATTTATTTATTTATTTTTTGCCCTATTTCATTCACATAGAGCCACCCTCACGTGAGACTTTGAGATCCATTTCTATACAAATGAATTTTTTGGGTTCATTCCTATACCAAATTGAAAGCAAACGTAGACCTAAGAAGACCTGCCCCCAGCCCCCAATATGATCCTGAAACAATCTACGGTGGCTATTTTAGAAATTTCGGGAGCTGCAATTTTTTATTTCAACCACCGGCTAGTTTTAGTGGAGGTTTGGATTTCCTCTTTCTTAAAGATCTTGTTTCGTTTATCGTCAAAATTTCTTCTTTCACTCTTGTAAATTAATAGTCATGACACTGGTTGAGGCGTTCTTGGACATTTTTGAAAGGCCCACATTGGGGGCAATTATAATAGGGATGACACAATTTTTGGGTCCCGTTTGGATTGCCTTTTTTCTAGGTATAATGGTAGGCTGGGTGTGGAAACCAGGATGGGCTAATTTAGGGAAACATAAATTTGATTTTTCTGCACCTTCATCTCTCTCATCCTTGATTACTTCCCCTGTCCAGGGTTTAGGTTCAACACAAATATTAGATACCTTGGTATTGGATGATAGATTAGAGAACAAACATGTGGAATTTCCCGGGGTGTACAATGTTGTTTCAAGGTAAATTTGTATTTGGAATTCAAGATTTTGTTCAGAACTTAATGAGAGATCATATGATATTGTGTTTAGACTTGAAAGCCTAGGTTTTCTATTGTTGGAATAGGCTGATGATTAATGTATTGAAGCTTCCATTTTCTATCGAAGTATGTGCTTTTTATGATATTTGCAGGGTAATTTCATTCAGTTCAAAAAAAATTGTAGCCTTTTTCTTAACTTGGGAGCTTACTAAACCTATGAGTAACACCTTAACAGTTGGATCAATAAAGGGCTTTAGTGTTCTTCTTCGACCCTGCAATCAAACTCAAGGAAAGATAACTTTTGACAACCTTACCAATGGAAATGGGAAGTGCCTGTTACCATATATACCAGCGAATATTTGGGATATTTGGGAGAATGATTTGTTGCTAATTTTCAGGGATTGTATCTTTAATTTATTTAGTTTCCTTTTAGATCAAATAACTGTAAATATATATACAATACACAACACAATGTAAAGGCAAGTTTGTTTGACAGAAATTTCACGCAATTCGTTCGATCTTTTTGTCATGGTATCAGAGCTAGGCTTCTAAGCTCTTACCTGCTATGAATCTTGCCTCGTTCGGTGTATTGGAGACCATCGTCGGTGCCTCTCCAGGAGATCTCCGTTTTAGGTATTGGGCGTCTGGGTTCGGTCATCATTCTGTGTATTTCAGGTTCGATTGTCTTCTGCGTTCGGTCGCCCTTCTGCATATTTCAGGTTCGATTGTCTTCTGCATTTTTCGATTTCTCTCGCCGATTTCTCTCGAAGGTTCAGCAGGTTTTCCCTCCGTTTCTTGGGTGTATCATATAGGTACCTGGTGTGTTTCTTGTAGTAGGACCGTGGTGTTTGATTAATTGCTGTCTGTGGCTCATTTAGTTGTTTCAGTTCCGGCTCGTTATTTTATTTCAATTTCAGCACGTGGTTTTTTTTTTGTCTGGATTCTTCATTTGGTTGAATATTTTATTCATCATGTCATTTGATAAGTTAGACTCATTTATTATCCGCTTCAATGGAAAAAAATTACTCGGCTTGGGAATTCCAATTCCAATTATTTGTGAAAGGAAAAGAGTTGTGGGGACATCTTGATGGTAGCGATCCCGATCCTAAAGATGTTGAGGCTTTGTCGAAGTGTGAAATTAAGGATGCTCAAGTTATGACTTGGATCCTTAGTTCAGTCGAACCGCACCTTATTCTCAATCTGAGACCTTACAAAACTGCTGCTGCTATGTGGGATTACATTAGTAAGGTTTACAAACAAGACAACACGGCTCGATGATTTTAATTGGAGTATGAGATGGCTAATTTTACACAAGGAAGTCTTTCGATTGAAGAATACTTTTCAAGTTTTCAAAATCTTTGGACTGAATATTCAGATATAGTTTATGCTAATGTTCCCGCGGCAGCCCTATCTGCTGTTCAAACATGAGACAAGCAAGCGGGATCAATTCTTGATGAAGCTACGTCCCAAATTTGAGGCTACACGGTCCAATCTGATGAATCGTCGACCTGTACCATCTCTAGATACTTGCTTGGGTGAACTTCTTCGTGAGGAGCAACGTCTAGTTACTCAGGTTGCCATGGAGCATAGGGATATTATCAGTGCTTCTGTGGCTTATGCAGCACAAGAAAGGAATAAGGGTCGTGACATGCATGTTGTCCAGTGCTATAATTGTAAAGCCCTTGGTCACATTTCTCGGGATTGTCCTAAGAAATACTGTAACTATTGCAAGAAACAAGGTCATCACATCTCTGTTTGTCCCATTTGGCCAGAAAAGAGGCATACTACTGTCTATCATGCCTCCACTAGTGCCTCTAGCTTTGCAACATTGCCTACTGCTTCGCACGTTGTTCCAAATCCTGCTTCTGCATCCACCCTCAACCCTGAAATGGTACAACAGATGATCAATTCTGGTTTCTCTGCTATTGGACTATCAGGTACTCATAAAACTTAGTCTAAACCATGGTTGTTCGACTCTGGAGCTTCTAATCATATGACCAACACCGTTATTCCTCTTTCCAATGTGAAAGAATACGATGGGAATCTAAAAATTCATACTGCTAATGGTAGTTCTCTGCCTATCAAAGTTGTTGGTGATCTTTTAGATTCCTTAACTAATGTTTTTGTGTCTCCCAATCTTTCTACAAATTTACTTTCGGTTGGTCAATTAGTTGATAGTAATTATAATGTTCATTTCTCTCATTCTGGTTGTGTTGTGCAGGATCCGGTGTCGGGGAAGATGATCGCGCAGGGGCCTAAAGTGGGACGACTCTTTCCTTTGCATATTCCTCCTTTTCCTAGTTCTCCTTTACTTTCATTTGCATGTAGTACCATTAATACTGAAAATAAATTGTGGCACAAATGTTTAGGCCACCTAAACTCAGATGTACTTCGCACTTTATTTAATTCTAATTTATTGGGTAATAAAACATGTTCGTCTGAACTTTCTTTTGATTGTACTGCATGTAAACTTGGCAAAAGTAAAACTCTACCTTTTTCCTCTCATGGATCTGGTGCCTCACAATGTTTTGATATTATTCATAGTGATGTTTGGGGGATTTCATCTATTTTTTCTCATGCACATTATAAGTACTTTGTTACATTTATTGATGACTTCAGTCATTTTACTTGGGTTTATTTTTTAAGAGCCAAATCAGAAGTCTTTTCAGTCTTTAAGCGTTTCTTGGCTCTTGTTGAGACTCAATTTTCTAGTCTCATTAAGAACTTGCGATCTGATTCAGGGGGGGTATATGTCCAACGAGTTTCAGAACTTTCTCCAAAATAAGGGTATCCTCTCTCAACATTCTTTCCCTTCGACACCACAGCAAAACGGTGTTGCTGAAAGAAAGAATCGTTACCTCCTGGATATGGTAAGAACACTCTTACTTGAATCATCGGTACCTTC